CACACACACTCACCACACACACACACTCACCACACACACACACACTCACCACCCACACACACTCACTCACCACACACACTCACTCACTCACCACACACACTCACTCACTCACCACACACACTCACTCACTCACCACACACACTCACTCACTCACCACACACACTCACTCACTCACCACACACACTCACTCACTCACCACACACACTCACTCACTCACCACACACACTCACTCACTCACCACACACACTCACTCACTCACTCACCACACACACTCACTCACTCACTCACCACACACACTCACTCACTCACTCACCACACACACTCACTCACTCACCCACCACACACACTCACTCACCCACCACACACTCACTCACCCACCACACACTCACTCACCCACCACACACACTCACTCACCCACCACACACACTCACTCACCCACCACACACACTCACTCACCCACCACACACACTCACTCACCCACCACACACACTCACTCACCCACCACACACACTCACTCACCCACCACACACACTCACTCACCCACCACACACACTCACTCACCACACACACACTCACTCACCACACACACACTCACTCACCACTCACTCACTCACTCACTCACCACACACACTCACTCAATCACCACACACACACACTCACTCACCACACACACTCACTCACTCACCACACTCACTCACTCACCACACACACTCACTCACCACACACACTCACTCACCACACACACTCACTCACCACACACACTCACTCACTCACTCACTCACTCACTCACTCACTCACTCACCACACACACACACACACACACTCACTCAATCACCACACACACTCACTCACCACAAACACACACTCACCACACACACTCACCACACACACACACTCACTCACCACACACACACACTCACCACACACACACCACTCACCACACACACTCACCACACACACTCACTCACTTACCACACACACTCACTCACCACACTCACTCACTCACTCACCACACTCACTCACTCACCACACACACACACACACACACACACACACACACACACACACACACACACACACACACACACACACACACACACACACACACACACACACACACACTCACTCACTCACTCACTCAATCACCACACACACTCACTCACCACAAACACACACTCACTCACCACAAACACACACTCACTCACCACACACACTCACTCACCACACACACTCACACATACTGTTTAAAGTTACTTGCCCTCATCTTTATAAGATTCAATCAAAGATTCAATATCACAGCCAGAATAGTATATATGGCAACTTGCCTAATTTAGGAATGTAGTATTTCTCTGAACAGTATGTCTAAAAACATATATACATATTCTGCAATGTAGGAAAATAATAACAAAGAAAGTAAGTTCAGGCAGAGCAAAGAAAGTAAATTCAGATTATCCATAAATATCTACCAAACAAATACACTAATTCTCTTAAGTAATTCCAGCTGACCCAAAAACTGCAACCTCACTTCCAGTAACCTGTTTATCTTGATTTTCTCTTCTATGTTTGCATGGAACTATGCTTTCCTAATCCGGTTGCAAATCATTTCAGTGGAATTCAAGGACATAGTATGCAAATTTTTCATGAACCTTATAGGTAATTGCAGGAATCACTGATTAATACTTTTTCTGAAAGCCAATAACAGCAGGTCTAACTATAAACAAGGAGGCACCTCATTAACTATAAACTTTAAAGGTTCATTTCAGTGGTTAATTGAATCTGTAGAATCTCTCATAAATTTATAGTTTTTATAAATAAGCCTATAAATGTAGTCAAGCAATCAGCAAGATTAAGCATGGACTGGTCCCTCATTTGGTAATAAGTCACCAGAGGTCAACTAAGCACACACACACAATGGTCATGATCATGGTGACGGAAGGTAGGTCACATTTTTATTTGGCTATTTCTTGTAAGTCACATTTTTATTTGGCTATTTCTTGTAGGTCACATCTTTATTTGGCTATTTCTTGTAGGTCACATCTTTATTTGGCTATTTCTTGTAAAGTGAAAACTTTTATTTTAATTTTGCAATTATGGCCTAGAATAAGAAAGTCTCAGAACTTATCAACCTATTGACTCCATGTTCTATAGACCTATAACTAAAACTAAGATTATACATTTGCTATTTATCTGACACTGAAATTATACCTAATCTGCAAATATTTGCTTTTTATATATTTCAACCCTATACTACTACTTTTCAGAAATACTCTCCTCACTAAACATCATCATTACTCAAGTTCATGACATAGCAAACAAGACTAAGTATGGCCATAACTAGAAAATGTTTACCATGTTTACAGACAGGGAAAATCTCAAGCTACAATCCCTAATGTAGCAATCTAAATTATACATGCTTATGTAGTCACTTCAAGGACACATGCTAACAAATCAATCAAATTCATCATACAAAGCTTACACTACATAATCATATAGAACACTGGTATATTGACATACACTACTATGGCCTTATTTGAATCTTAAAGTACCCATTTTCCTAATATAGCACTGCTGCATCTACCACAACAGTCTTTCCAAATTTATCATTCTTTAACAAGTTTTGCAAAAACATATAAATGCCTATAATTTGAAGATTTCTCTCCTACACCATTCCAGCAACAAAGGTCTTTGCCCTCCTATATTCCCAAGGTCTTTTCCTGTTCTCCAAATATGATGACTCAGAGCCTTGAATTTCCTGAGATTAAACAATCCATTCACGATACCACAAATACCTAAAAAATGACATCCTATTACAACCATTTTATAGGAAAAGAAGACAACAGCTCTATTGATGATTGTAGTCAGACACTGCACAAGTGAAGGGCAACTCCTTGTCTTAGATCTATGGCAGATCACTACACAACTTGGGCCAGCTCCTGACACATCCAAGTGCAGCTCAAAATAAACAGTTGCAATATTCACGCCTTTAATGCTAAAAGGCATGCTTTTGTTTTTTATACTGTAAACAAAGAAATTATTGGCAGTAATTATTCAGTACAAGATCATATCAAATAACAATTTTGCATCCATGGTTTTGCACTCTGGTATAGATCAACAGATATTCATAACATATATCAGGAAGATAGATTATGGGCTTTTCCTTGTTCAATGACAGATCCCTAGAAAGACTGCCAAACATCAACATGCCAAAAAATACATTGTGGAGGTTTGGTTTAACGTTGCTTTGCCTAACCATATTGCTATTTATCTGACACTGAAATTATACCTAATCTGCAAATATTTGCTTTTTATATATTTCAACCCTATACTACTACTTTTCAGAAATACTCTCCTCACTAAACATCATCATTACTCAAGTTCATGACATAGCAAACAAGACTAAGTATGGCCATAACTAGAAAATGTTTACCATGTTTACAGACAGGGAAAATCTCAAGCTACAATCCCTAATGTAGCAATCTAAATTATACATGCTTATGTAGTCACTTCAAGGACGCATGCTAACAAATCAATCAAATTCATCATACAAAGCTTACACTACATAATCATATAGCACACTGGTATATTGATATACACTACTATGGCCTTATTTGAATCTTAAAGTACCCATTTTCCTAATATAGCACTGCTGCATCTACCACAACAGTCTTTCCAAATTTATCATTCTTTAACAAGTTTTGCAAAAACATATAAATGCCTATAATTTGAAGATTTCTCTCCTACACCATTCCAGCAACAAAGGTCTTTGCCCTCCTATATTCCCAAGGTCTTTTCCTGTTCTCCAAATATGATGACTCAGAGCCTTGAATTTCCTGAGATTAAACAATCCATTCACGATACCACAAATACCTAAAAAATGACATCCTATTACAACCATTTTATAGGAAAAGAAGACAACAGCTCTATTGATGATTGTAGTCAGACACTGCACAAGTGAAGGGCAACTCCTTGTCTTAGATCTATGGCAGATCACTACACAACTTGGGCCAGCTCCTGACACATCCAAGTGCAGCTCAAAATAAACAGTTGCAATATTCACGCCTTTAATGCTAAAAGGCATGCTTTTGTTTTTTATACTGTAAACAAAGAAATTATTGGCAGTAATTATTCAGTACAAGATCATATCAAATAACAATTTTGCATCCATGGTTTGCACTCTGGTATAGATCAACAGATATTCATAACATATATTCAGGAAGATAGATTATGGGCTTTTCCTTGTTCAATGACAGATCCCTAGAAAGACTGCCAAACATCAACATGCCAAAAAATACATTGTGGAGGTTTGTTTAACGTTGCTTTGCTAAACCATGAAGACCACTGGAGAGATGAAACTGGGCTTGTAACTACAAATTTGGATGTACTAAAAAGGAATTTTGACACTTTTATTTTAATCAATCATTTCTTAATACAGTTGGTAATTTTCCGTGTACTTTTACGGCAGTTACTTTAATTTTTTTCTATATACCTACATTTCTGTTTTGGTCATCTGCCATTCCCACAAAGGCAACATTAAAAACTAACACCAAAACTAACATTTAATGAATTTCCGAGGGATATATTCCTTGAACCTACTACAGCCACTATTTAAAATATGCAAATTTACCCAGAATTGGTAGTGTGTAAGCTTTAACTTGCCAGAATTAATGTCATATGAGTTTGTTGACCTCTATCTGAATACAGAGGACAAGGCAAATCTTGATAGTCCAAATGTAAACATTTATGAAAACATTTTCCGAACTACTATCACACACAATCCCTCTTACAAAAGCATGCACCGCAGGCACTACAGAGACAAAATTAACTACGGAAACACGATTAATGCCTGGGAAAGCTGGAACTTGTGTTCACAACCTAAATTCCCCCCCCACTGGCATGCAGAGGAGGGCCTTCCCCACACAGCCACCCCACCAGTCACACTCCCTCCTCGCGCCCCCACACCCCCGCGCCCCCGCCCACGTGCCCTGCCCCTGTAGGCCTACCTTCCTGCGTGTCCATGAGCTCGAGGTGGTTGTCTGGGGTGGGCGGCTCCGTGACGTGGTTCATGACTGGCGGCACCACAGTATTCCCGTCTTCGGCCTCGCAGCCTCCCGGGGGCGCCCCTCCTCCTCCTGCCCCGCCTCCTCCTCCTCCAGAACCCTTAGCGGTCCGTCGGCCGCCTCGATCACGACTCCCAGCACAGCCGTTCTTGCCAGACACAGGGACCTTCAAGGCGTGTTTGCTCGCTATGCGCCCAATGTCTGCAGCTTGCCACCACCCCCGTCACCAGGGGCAACCGCACACACATATAGACTGCGGGGCTACACGACACTACCGAGACTTGTTCCTCCACAGATTACGGGCGTCGTAGCGCAGTGCGGGCGAGAGCATCGGGGTCCCGGCGGAGGAGCTGCATTCGCCGAGACTTGTCACTGCTGCCCCGCCGCTCGCGAACTCTTCTGAAACGACCAATACGAAGCCCTATTTACGCGATCGCGAGAGCTCTGGCGCATCTCGCGGCGGCTCTCCTTGTTTCTTAACGTGCTCTAGAGGCGTGGATGATTCACTCCTCCCGAGACAGGGCCATGGGATTGCAAAACCGGCCTGGCGCTGCAGAATCGTATTGGAACCAATGACGACGAGGCGCAAACAAATGGAAAATGGCGCTCGCGCGGCGCTCGCTCTACTCACCCCAATTTCGCACTTATTCCCATCTAATTAATTACTACTCTTACGCGAAACAACTAATAAATTCACACAGATTGCGGACCAAATACCGAAACGCGCTAGCTATACTGCGGCGCCGACCGAGCAGCAGACAATAGCCAAGAGGCGAGCGAAACCCTTGACCGCGGCCTCCCTCGCACGCCTCTGCCGCCAAGTTTAAATCCTAATTATCGCGCATTCCGTCACGCCAGACAACCCATGCTATGCTTAAAAAACACTATTTCATTGCGGAAGGGGGCGAAATAGATGGATAGAAGAGAGAGGAGTGCACCCAGTGGCAAGCCCTCGAAGGAATTATTTAATACTTATGGAAAGA